GCGAAATAATGACAGACATTTATTTTTGATATTTTCAAGTAAAGCGTGTATTTGTATATTCTATAAGTGGATGGAAGTGCAGAAGAAACTAGACTGTACTTATTGTAAATATGAAACTCGTAAGTGCATCAGCTGAGTGATTTTTAAATGGACAGAGAATCACTCTTTTCATGCGAGCTCTTTCACGTTCTTTGTAACCTCTTTGCTGTAGAATTGACTTGCAAAGGAGCAGATTTTGGTATATCTGAAAAGCACAGGAAACATCTGCTACAAGTGGATGGAGACAATATTTTGCTTCCAGGGAAAGAAGAGATACACAATAAGCAGAATGGAGGGTGGAGCAGAGTTCCCTGTTTACTGCATTCACTTGCATGCAGGCGGTAGATGGTATTGATCTTAGTGACTTAATAACTCTTCCCATATGGTGTGCCACAAGGTGGGAATGCCAAGCAGACCTACTGCTATAGGCATTTCTGAAGTTTGGGCCTTCTCTTTCCTTGACTTCGTTCTGCTGAGCTGTATTTGGCCAGGTCTAGCCAGAGACATAAGCAGTAGCTCTTTGAAAGAGTTGTTTTAAAATAGTTACTTTTTGCTTATTTTATTTTTTTAATTTTTAATTTTAAAGATGTGGGGTACAATTCAGGGTTAGGTATACAAATGTTCATTATGCAGGTACCCTTGTTGATGAGGTGTGCCCCCTCCCCAGCAGTTTCCCACTACTGCCAATCCCACCCCACCCTTCCCTCCCCAGCAGTTTCCCACAACTGCTGATTCCTTTCTTATGGCATTATGATAATTGTTCAAGGTCCACTTATGAGTAAGAACATATGGTACTCTATTCTTTGTTTCTGTGACAGATCACTGAGTATGATAGACTCTAAATCCATCCAAGTTGCTGTGAAATCCATATGTTGTCCTGCTTTATAGCTGCATAATATTTCATTGTGATATGTACCACATTTTTTTTTTAATCCAGTCCAGTTTTGAAGGGAAGCCATTTTTACTGGGGTTAGGTGGTGTCTCAGTATGGTTTTATTTGCATTTCTCTGATAATTAGTGAGGTTGAGCACTTTCTCATGTGTCTGTTACTTCTGGTTACTTTAAAATAGGTATGGGATAGAACAAGCATTAATGTTCGTAGCAATTTACAAAAATTAAATGGATGCATACGCAAACATGCTCCTCCTGGCTGTTCATTCCTGTGTTGCCTCTGATGGTACATAAGCACCAACACTCAGAAAGTGGTAACTCTTTCATGGTGTTAGTCAAGATAATAGTGAAGCTATTGGTTTTGTAGATCTGAGTAATAATACCTATCATTTAGTATATGCTTCTTTGTGGCAGTTTCTGTGTAAACATTATTTCTATTTTTTGGAACAATCAGGCAAGGCTGTTGTTATTCCTATTTTACAGATGAGCTACTGAGGTTCAAAGAAGTTAATTTGTCAAGGTCACATGGCTAGTCAGGTGCTGAGCTTGGTAGTTAGACCTTAGTCTTTCATTTCATGGGGCACACTACCTCTCTTGGATCTCAGCATGGTTGGGATTGCATGCAGGGTTTTTAATAGTAAAAACTATGGATTTTTCAGATTCCCACCTGTTCCTCGTGTCGTTATTTGGATTATCAGTTGGTCTACGGGCTTGTCTGTGTCTGTTGCTTTTCTCATGTCAGTGTGTAAGAGTGAGAGAAGGAGCAGGTACTGTGAGTTGTGTGTGTCCCTGTGGATCTGTGAATCTGTGTGTGGCTGAGAGAGGGTGGGAAGGAGGGAGGAAGGGAGGCAGTAGAGGCCACAATATTGCCTCTCCTGTGCCAATGACTGGAGTAGTTAAGGCCACTTTCTTCAGTTAAAGCTGATTGTAGTTAAAATCTCCTTGGAATATAATCTTCCATTGAAATTTTGAAAATCCTTAGCCCAGGAGACTGTTTTTCTCATTCAGAACTAGAGTTAATGAATTTCCCAGTTCTACAGCAGTAATGCATTGTTAACTAGTTCAGAATGGAGATTAACAGGAAAGGAATCTGTAGTGACAAGTTAAATAGACAGTTTTTAAAAAGTCCTATTTTATGAACGCTGTACATGTATTCATACTTTCTCTCTTTTTGAACTCTGCCTTTTTGGGATGTCTCACCCTATCCTTCCCTGAGCACGTCTTCCCAAGAAGTCTTCTATGATAAGATCTTAGAATGCTGGATCAAACGCAGAGGAAGAGGCCTGTAACCAACTGAAAATACCTACAAGTAGCATGAACCTGCATGAATAGTGGCAGGTAGAGCAGAGAACAGAGGGAGAGGTAGCTTTGGGAAGTGTACTACGTGACCCCAAGGACTTTCAGGGCTGTCCTTGGAATAAATGGGATGTGGAAATGCTTGGGCAAGATAGTATAGTATTAACAGAGGAGACAGAAAAGCCTGGCTATACAAGCACTTTTGCTTCCTATCTTCATCAGAGAATGGCCCTCAAAACTAGAAAGTATAGAGTAGTCATTACTGAGAGTGCATTAGAGCCTGAATTACATGGAAAAACCACTCAGCTTTACCAGATGCACAGATCCACATCCCAAGTAACAGTGAGATTTTAACCCGTGATCTCAGGGTCACATCATGATTTTGTGAGAAATTAACAGAAAAATAGAGATGGACTAATGTCCTAATTAAAGGGGAAGATTCATTTTTAGAAGCTATAGATCTAAAGTAAGCTTGATGTCAGTTTCTGGCAAAGCTATAAAATAAATGACCCACTAAATAATGTAGTGGTCACCAGGAATCAGCATTACCACTAATAAGCCTTGCCCAGACTCATTTCCTTTAAGTTTGACTTTTTTAAAATTTATTTTTTTGGAGAAGGAAAGCTAGATTATTAGATACCTAGAGTGATAGAATCACACATTGGAAGATGTGCCTTAATTTAGTTCAAATAATGCTCACAAAGTATTACTCTTTAACATGACTTCATCAGAGTGTGCATGGGATAATCTTTTATAACCTTATAAGAATAGGGTGGAGAACTAGTTACAGGTTAGTATTATGTAGATTCCCATCTTTTAAAAATTAACCAAAAGTTTGTTGATTAATGAATGATATGGTGTTCTCATGGGGGCATGCTCAGGTAGGCACTGTCATTGACTTTATTTGTCATTTAGAAAAACACATAATTCAACCACTACCACCACCACCACAACAACAACAAACCCAATAGGAAAAGGATACTTCTTAGATTTGTAGACAAGAGAAAGCTGGAAGGAATAGTTGATAGGAAAAGACTAAAAATTCAAATTATTTTGTTGGTTTGTTGTTATGTTTTTAACTATTATCATGTACAATACACAACTTACTATTTATAATTATCAGGTCCTGAATTTATTACAGAAGTCAATTAAGCATTATGTGATAAAGGCAGTATATTTTGAGGTAGTTAATGAAAATATTGGAGTTTTAGTTAACCTTATATAATATAATCTATAAACAAATAAAATAAATTTAGAATAATATATCTATAAACAAATAAAATAAATTTAACAACTCTACAGCAAGAAAAATAAAACTAAAAAAATGACATTTTACGAATATAATATCTATATGTTAAGTTTCATCTTTGGATGCATTTGAACATAATAAGGATAAGAATAGTTGGCTCTGGGTGGCATATTATTTGTTTTTGTTTTTGTTTTTAAGTTGGAGTCTCACTCGGTCGCCCAGACTGGAGTGCAGTGGCCGCTCCTGGCCACCACAGCCTCGACCTGCTGGGCTCCGGTAATCCTTCCGCCTCAGCCTTCCGAGTAGCCGGAATTACAGGCATGCGCTACCACACCCGGCTGATTTTTTGATTTTATTGTAGAGATGAGGTCTCGCTACCCTGGCGGGTCTTGAACCCACAGGCTCAGGCAATCCACTCACCTCAGCCTCCCAAAAGTGTGGGATTACAGGTTGAGCCACCGAGCCCGGCTCTGGGTGGCATATTATAAGGACATTCAAAAAATGGATGTAGTTTTCAGAACATGTTGATCAGAATGGTGAACAAAATACCTGGATATCATATTCTAGAGACATCATGGAAAAAATTGGGAATGTTTAATTAATAGAAGACTAGAGAAAGACCTAGTGGCTGCCTTCAACTCTGAAGGACTTTTTTTGAACAGGATAGAAAATTGGTCTCCATTTCTAGTGATGAACAAGAAGAAAATAATTGAAGAAAGTACAAGGAAATGAATTCTGCTCAATACTAGGAATATTAACAAGTCGACGACCAATGACAGAATGGGAGGCCTTGGAAAGAAATGACCATCACTTTACTTTAGTGTTCGAGCTCAAGTTGAATCTACTTGGTTGTACCTGTACCCTTTAAGGCCCAGTTCCAATGTTAACTCTTCTCTGAAGTCTCTTTGTCTCTGCTAAGTACTTGCTTTCTCATTTGGTTTTGAACCCCCAGCACTATACATAGTAAGTGGATTACACATACAGTTCACACAGTGCACACAGCGAGTACTTAATAAATGTTGAATAAAAGAATGGAGTTGGGCAATAGACTGTCCTGGGTTCTCAGATAACTATACAGAGAACAGCACAACTAAGAACTATCTATTATTTCCATTATATTATTTGTTTATTCTTGGTCTGAGTTGCTCACTTTAGGAGAAATTTTGCTCTAAAGTATATTAAAGCTAAAGATTTTATAGCTGATGATATCTAGAAAAGCATTTTTTTCCCCTATAATATGTGCTTTTAATCAAAGGTCTTGCTTGCTTTTAGGCAAAAGAGCTTGGTTCACTGGGGAGTGGATAGTTTTAAAGTGATTATTAGACTGATCATCTCTTTAGGATTTTTGTCAAGAATGAGGAAAATAATTATTTTCCAAGTTGGAAAGTTAAAAAAAATAAATAAATGAAAATGATGCTATCAGAGTTTTAAAAAGTTATCTTTGGTACAGTAGCAGTAGGTCTTGAGATGCAGCAGGTTGACTGTCATGAAGTAATATCCCCCTCTGTTATTGTCTCCCATTCAGGCTGATTCAAAAGTCATTGAAAAGTGGATGGATGGTGTGAAAGAATTCTTAATGAAAGAGCAGGCTGCCCAAGGAGATGCCACAGGGCTACAGAGGCAGCTAGACCAATGCTCTGTGAGTTCTGCTGATCTGGGGGAAACTGCTGTCATAAATAACACTTCCTTCTTTTTCTTTATTTTTTTTGCTGCTATTATTAAAATTGTAAGAATGTGATATGGCATTAGACCTAGATAAAATATCTTTCATCATAAACCTTTTATGACTTTATAGCTAACAGAAGAATGGAAGTTTAGTCACATTTTTATTTTTGGCCATGGTTACAGAATTTTGTATAGAGAGAATAAGAGCAATTTTAATTTGCTGGGAACCAATTGTTTGTTGCTTTTCTTGTGCCACATGAAGAGGATTTAAGAAACACGTATTTAACAAGTGAAATGTGCTAGTAATACTGCATGTAGTTTATATTTAGTGAAATCATCAGGTTTCTCTAAATTAATTAAAATACTATTCCCTGCTGAGAGTCAAGTACTTTCAATCTAATTTGGCAGATGACTATGTGAAGTACCCAGGTGACATGAATTTCTTAAGGCACAATATTTCTTAAGTAGTTAAAGTCTTGACTCTTAGGCAATCTGCTTTTATAATATTTGCAGGAATACAAGCAGACAAACTATAAATATGTCATCCACTTACATAGGAATGAACTCAACATGGGCATATTTTATGTGTTCAGGAATTTGTGAATGAAATAGAAACAATTGAATCCTCTCTGAAAAACATGAAGGAAATAGAGACTAACCTTCAAAGCTCTCCAGTTCCTGGAATAAAAACTTGGATGCAGGCAAGACTAGTTGACTACCAAACCGAACTGGAGAAATTTAGCAAAGAGGTGAGTTTTCAACTTTTACTGTCAGAAGTCTTTAAGAAGTATAGATACTAAATTGGTTTTATAACCCATCCAGTTAGAAAAACAATGGTCTAGAAGTGTGACTACAGTGTGACTGGCAAGCTGGGTTAAGAAAGGCATCATTAGCCAGGCTCGGTGGCTCAGCCTGTAATCCCGTGCCTTTGGGAGGCTGAGGTGAGTGGATTGCCTGAGCCCGTGGGTTCGAGACCCGCCTGGGCAACTTGGCGAGACCTCTCTCTACAATAAATTAAAAACTAGCCGGGTGTGGTAGCGTGCGCCTGTAGTTCCAACTACTTGGAAGGCTGAGGCGGAAGGATCACTGGAGCCCAGCAGGTCGAGGCTGCGGTGGCCGGGAGTTGCCACTGCAGTCCAGTCTGGGCGACAGAGTGAGACTCCAACTCAAAAAAAACAACAAAAAAAGAAAGGCATCATTTAAAAAAAAATTAATTGTTTTTTTAAAATTGTTTTTTGTTAATTGCTTTTTAAATTAATTGCTGTTTTTTTAATTAATAATTTTTAAAAAATTAACTAATTGTTCAATTTAGCCCAGGACTTATTCCTCCTTGTCTTAAATCCAGCTTGAGACATTTATGACACTTGCTTTACCCCTAAAACATTTGAGTACGTTACCCAATAGTTACAGTCATTAGTCATTTATTTATTTTGCAAATATATATTAATGAGTTGCCATATGTCAAGCATCGCTCTAGGCACATTGAACAAGTAAAAATAAACTCCTCTTCATGAGCTTGCATTCTAGTGAGACAGATAAATAGTGAAGGATATTATGTTGGAACGGCAAGGAGATAGGGCTAGGTGGATTATTTCAAATAGGGGTGACGTATTAGTCCATTTTGTGTTGCTATCAAAAAAAATACCTGAGACTGAGCAGTTTGGTTTATAAAGAATAGAGATTTATGTGGGCTCATGGTTCTATGTGATGCTGGCATCCGCTGGGCTTCTGGTGAGGCTTCAGGATGCTTACAATCATGGCAGAAGGCAGAGGGTCATGTCACATGGTGAGAGCGGAAGCAAGAGAGAGGGACAGGGTGGTGTCAGCCTCTTTTAAACAAGCTCCTGTATAACCTAATAGAGCAAGAGCTCACTCATTACTGTGAGAACAGCATCAATTCATTTATGAGAGACCTGTTTCCGTGACCCAAACACCTCCCACTAGACCCCACCTTTGACATTAAGGATCACATTTCAATGTGAGATTTTGAGGGACAGTCATTCAAACTGTATCATTCCTCCCCTACCCCTCATATCTCATGTTTGTCTCCATGGCAAATACAACATACCTTCCCAGTAGTCCTCAAAAGTCTTTACCTTTTCCGGCACTAGCTCAAAAGTCCAAAGTCAAATGGCTCATCAGAGACTCAAGGCCAGTTCCTTCCACCTGTGAGCTTGTAAGATCAAAAACAAGTTATTTACTTCTAAGACGGCAGTACAGGCATTGGGTAAATATTTTCATTCCAAAAGAGAGGAATTGTACAACAGAAAAGGGCAACAAGCCTCATACAAATCTGAAACCCAGCAGCATTAAAGAATTAAAGCTACAAAATAATTTTTGACTTCGTCTCATATCCAGGGCACACTGGTATAAGGAGTGGACTCCCAAGACCTTGGGCAATACACTCACCTCAGCCTCCCAAAGGCGCGGGATTACAGGATGAGCCACCGAGCCCGGCTCTGAAATCACTCTTTTCTTCTGTACCACATGGACACATTTCAAATTTTCCAAAGTTTGACAGTCTGCTTCTCTTTAAATTATAATTTACCACTTTAAGCAATTCCTTTGCTCCTATATCTGATTGGAGGCTATTAGAAGCAGCCATACCACATCTTGAAGCTCTGTTGCTTAGAAATTTCTTCTACCAGACACCCTGTCATCACAAATTCAGCCTTCTGCAGAGTTCTAGGCCAATGCAGCCAAGTTCTTTGTTAAAGTATAACAAGGGTGATTTGCTCCAGTTTCCGGTAATTTTCTCATTTCTGTCTGAGACCTCATCAGCCTGGCCTTCAAAGTCTGTATTTCTCTCAGCATTTTGGTCACGAGTCTCTAAGAAGTTCCAAACTTTCCCTCGTTTTCCTGTCTTCTTCTGAGCCCTCCAAACTCTTCCAACCTCTGCCCATTAGCCAGTTCCAAAGTCACTTCCATATCTTCAGGTGTCTTTATAATTCCACTCCACTCCTCAGTACCAATTTTCTGCTTCAGTCCATTTTGCATTGCTATAAAGGAATACCTGAGGCACAGTTCTGCATGAAGCCAGCATCTGCTTGGCTTCTGGTAAGGCCTCAGGAAGATTTTACTCCTGGTGGAAGGCAAGGGGATCCAGAGCCAGTATGTCCCACGGTGAGAGCAGGAGAAAGAGAGAGAGAAAAGAAAAGGGAGGTGGGGGAAGGAGAGAAAGAGAGAGAGAGAGAGAGAGAGAGAGAGAGAGAGGGAGAGATAAAGCGCGCAAGCGTGGGAGCACCAGACTTTTGGGTGAACTCAGCAAATAAGAACTCACTCATTACCATGAGGACAGCATCAATCCTTTTATGAGAGATCCACTTCCATGACCAAATCACCTTCCACTAACCTCTGTCATTGGAGATTACATTTCAGCATAAGAGTTGGAAAGGACAACCATCCAAACTATCACGTGGTCAGGGAAGGTCTTTCTGAGACTGGGGCATTGGAATAGAGAACAGAGTAAAGTCAGGGATAAGCCATGTGAGGTTCAGGGAAGAATATTCAGGCATGGGAAATAGCAAGTTTTAAAGCTCTGTGGTGAAAATGAACTTGGTGTGGTCAGTAAAGAATGAGAACAATGTAGGTGAATAGAGCACAGAGGAGTTAGTGATTTGGAGAATGGGAGTATTTGAGGTCAGAAGTAGGCAGAAGATGAATGAGATATGGTCTTAGACATAAGGACTTGGAATTTTATTTCCAGTGTGGCATTACACAGAAAGCAATTTGAGAGTTTTGAGCAGGTAAGCGACATGTGATATAGATCTTTTAAGATCATTCTAGCTTTCATGTAGGTAATTTGCTCTGGGAAGGCAAGAATGAAAACAGGAAGAGTATGAAGTTATTTCAGTCTTGGAGTGAGAGTCTAGGGAGGTAAGAGCAGAAGTTATGAGGAATAGTAGGTTTGGACCTTACTTTTAAAATAGGAGACTCAAGTAAAGAACTGGGAGTGTGATAGAAGACAATGTGATTACTCATGGGCAGCCCAGGATTTTTGCAAAGCTTCCACTTTGTGTGAGCTGTGTTATTTATTGGAATAATGAAGACTCAAGGAGGAGGAGCTTTTGTGGGTGCAGCTAGAATGATGATTTCCATTCTGGAAGAGTTAAATTTGAGATATTAAAAACTGAAAAGGAAACATCAGTAAGAGGAGAGACATGTCAGGGAACGTGGGGCCCCAGAGACCAGGTGAAGAAAGCTTTTCACAGTGCCCAATGCTGATGATGGCTGAAGCCTGTTGGGACTGAAAGTCCAGCTTTACATTTGACAAGATGAAGGCACTTAATGACCTTGAGGAAAGGGGATCCAGTGGAATGGTTGGGAAGAAAGTTTTACCAGAGAATGTTGTGGAGAGAATGGAGGGAATGAGGAACCTAGGACAAGTATAATCAACTTGGAGAGGTTTCTCTATTCAGGGAAGCAGAGAAATAGGTGGATGTTGGAGATGGGAATCCAGAGAGCTGTTTTTGTTACTTTTAATGAGAGATGTTATAGGATGTTTGTATGCCAAAGAGAAGGACTTGATACAGAAGAGATGGAGATAAGATCAATTCTCAAATGAAGTCTGTGGTCCTGTGAGAGGACATGAGACCCACTGCCTGAGGGAAGATGTTGCTGTGAGTTAGTTCCCTGGTGGAACTGTATGGGAACAGTAGGGTGGGAGGTAGTTCTCTTCTGATTACTTCAATTTGACTAGTGAAATAATAGTGAGGTTATACATAGCTGAAGTGAGTGACAAAGTGATATAAAGGAGAGGAGAAAATGTAAAATACAGGCATGCACCACATAATCCTGTAGATAATGCATATCTCTTAATACAATGCTTTTGGCTAATGTTTATATAAAGAAAATGTATGTTTTGCATAACTGAATATTTTGTTTTGTTTTTATTGTTTTACCCCAACTACCTTATTTTGAACATGTTCAGATGTAAAGAAAAGTTGATATAATGGGACAAGAACTATCCGTTATCCATTCAATGATTTGCTAGTGTTTTACCACATTAACTTTCTTTCCCTTTTTGCCCTTTGCTTTGTGTGTGCACACATACACCACACACACACACACACACACACACACACACACACACACACATTTTTGTCCTTTTGGCTAGACACGTTCTCTCAACAGGAGGTTGAGGTCATCAGGGCTTTTCATCCCTAAATACTCTAGCATGTTTCTTCCAAGAATAAGTACACTCTTCTACAGAACTATAATACCATTACCTCATGCTTAAGAAATAAATAATATTATAGAATCATCACATATCCTAGCCTGATTCAAATCTTTCTCAATGTGCTGTAATCTGTTGATATGAGCCTGAAGGAACTGGGGCTTTTGAGGAAATAAATAGGGATAATGGTTTGGAAGTGGCAATGAAGAGCATGAAAGGTAGGAGATAAATAGAAGTTCGTCTCTCTCTCTCTCTCTCTATCATCTTTTATCTATCCATCTATTCCTATATCCATCCATACGCATATGACAACAATTAATTCATTATGAATTATTATCGACTCAAAGTAGAAGAATAAGTATATGGGAAAGTTTGAAGTGTCCTAAGCAAGGAAATATCCACGGGTTGTATGAGTAATTGCCTAGAGCAGTACCAGACCATTGTATTTCATTGACTAATAAAAATGCTGAAATAGTTTTGGACGAACATAATGTTGCCAAATTTTTATTTTGCTGAGAAAGGATGGGTATATGAAACAAATCAACAAACAAAAGCAGTCTCTTTCATATATTATATCCATGATATCATGAAAGAAAGAACACCTTAATGCCAGAAGTAGAAAGTATATGATCTCAGGATAACTCATGATAATTTTTTTTTTTTTTTTTTTGAGTTGGAGTCTCACTCTGTCACCCAGACTGGAGTGCAGTGGCCGTTCCCGGCCACCACAGCCTCAACCTGCTGGGCTCTGGCAATCCTTCTGCCTCAGTCTTCAAAGTAGCTGTAACTACAGGCGTGCACTACCACGGCCGGCTAATATTTTTTTTTGTGTGTGTGATTTATTGTAGAGATGAGGTCTCGCCAAGTTGCCCAGGCGGGTCCCAAACCCGCGGGCTCAGGCAATCCACTCACCTCGGCCTCCCAAAGCGCGGGATTACAGGCTGAGCCACTGAGCCCAGCCGATAATTTTTTTTTTTTTTTGAGTTGGAATCTCACTCTATCACCCAGACTGGAGTGCAGTGGCCGCTCCCGGCCACCGCAGCCTCGACCTGCTGGGCTCCGGCGATCCTTCCGCCTCAGCCTTCCGAGTAGCCGGAATTACAGGCATGCGCTACCACGCCTGGCTGATTTTTTGATTTATTGTAGAGATGAGGTCTCGCTGCCCAGGCGGGTCTCAAACCCGCGGGCTCAGGCAATCCACTCACCTTAGCCTCCCAAAGGCGCGGGATTACAGGCTGAGCCACCAAGCCCAGCTGATAATTTTTTTTTAAACTCATGACATTGTCTTAATTTTTCTCATTTCTCTGTGGATCTATGAAAAGTGTATAACTGACTAGAGAATGTTCTGGAAGTGTGACCCAAGAATCTGTATTTCTATAGAGAGAGATATGTGTGTGTGTGTGTGTGTGTGTGTGTGTGTGTGTGTGTGTTTGTATGTGTGTATACATTATCATTATTACTATTATTTAATGAAAAGCTCACCGGGCTAAGCTGCTGCTCAGTTGAGCTTGGGAAGGGGGCTGTTTGTGTTACTGACACCTTCTCCTCAAGCACCATGTAGAGACATGGAAGAAAAATTCCTGTTTGGTCCCTGTCTATTTTTATATCTGAGATCCTGTGTGAAGGGAAGGCTGGGAAAAGCTGCTAGCCCTTGCTTTACCCTTACCCTTGTGAGAGCCCTCCTATTCCTGTGCTGGCCTTTAGCAGCCAAGCATGCCCTGGCACTGTGGCCACTCCTGTGGCATTTATTTGAGCAGGAGGCTGAACGTGTCAAGTGGGGGTTGAACTGTGACTGCAGAACCATATCTTCTCCTGAAGCAGAAGTCAGTTTGTGGCGAGGAGCTCTCTGAAAATATTTCTAAACGTCTCTGAAATTTATAACTAAGTCACTGAATCTGATAAATATCTATTTTCTAATGTAACTTTTTGTGTCTGTGTGGAATATACAAATATAGTAGATTATCAAAACCAAATTTTTGTGGAGCTGTGTCTTATAAACATCTTTATTACTAGCTCCTCCCTCCCTGTTTTTAAAAAGTGACAACTTAATGGAAAATTCGGTTGAAAAATGGACATTTTGGTTGCTTCCAGGTTTTTGTTTTTCATAATATACAGTGCTACATTACATTTATTTAATATATCTGCTTTTATTGCTGTAGGTCAGATTCCTACATCTGGGATTCCTGTCAATAATTCTGCATTTTCAAAATTATAATAGATATTTTTAGATTAAATTAATGTCAAAAATGTGGTCTAGAATCCCAGTCATATGATTATTTTTATTATTACCTATTTTCTACAACAGCACAAAATGCATAAAAGGTTTTATCTGGGTTTTAACACATTCAATTCTTTGTGGAAAGTTATTATTGTGTCTCTAAATATTTAAGAACTGGAACTTGACCTTGAACATATTAAAATTTGTTTATTGGGGGAATGGCTCTTCTGTTGTAGATTGCTACTCAAAAAAATAAGCTGTCTGAAAGTCAGGAAAAAACCGTGAACTTGAAGAAGGACTTGGCAGAGATGCAGGAGTGGATGACCCAGGCTGAAGAAGAATACCTGGAGAGGGATTTTGAGTACAAGTCACCAGAAGAGCTTGAGAATGCTGTGGAAGAAATGAAGGTGAGGCAGTGACAGCCAGGGTCAGCAGGCTTCACACTTCCCTGCATCCTTTAAAACCAACCCATCGGTCATCTGTCTAGCTGTAAAGCACCATATGTACATAGCATCTTCCACAATAGAATTTTGAATAAGTAAATAAGGGAAGTCAAGAATTCACATGTTCGCTTGGCCCATCAGTTGTGTCCATGAGGGCCCTGAGACAATCTCTTAGGTTAGACCTTTGGGGAACCACAAAGATAGACTTGCAAACCCCAAGTAGTAGGTGTGATGAAGAATTATACTTTCTATTTGGGTTATTCATATAACATAATATTTGTCATCTTTAACGATTTTTAGGTGCACTAGTCAATGGCATTATTTAGATTCACAATGTTGTACAACCATTGCCATTATCTATTTCAAAAATTTTTTCAGGAAAAATTATTTTTTGTAAGGTATAGGGTAGATTTCCCAACTTGCTTGGGATTTATTCTTATTTTACCAGGTGTCATCTTACAGTTAACACATGGGGCACATATGATACCAAAGTTTTGTTAGAACAGGTAAGAGTAGCAGTAGGAATGCATCAAGGGATTGCATATCAGTTGAATTTACTGGATACATTTCCTGTAAACTTATATTCCTGTGTCAATAGTTTCAAGCACTCTCTCTTTTTTTATATAATAAAGAACTGGGCATCGTTCCCAAATTTCTAACACTGCTTCAACTGTCCTTGAGTGTTCAAGCCAAAGGAATTCATGTCTTAAAAGTGATTTTTTTTTCCTTGTAAGCTTAAGCAAAACAATGAATGTTTTACCCCAAAGTGAACTTGCCTAAAAGTATATAACTAAAGCAAAAATCTTTGTGTAGATATTTTTAAAAAAGGGATTATATGACATTCATGCATTATTACATATAAGTCAAAGTAAATAAGACAGGAGATTTTTATTGAAGTTGCATTTTCACCAAAATGTCTTTTTTAGTGTAGCTCCTTTTGAAAGATTTTAAGATATCATTGTAGAAGGTATTTTAAAGGTAGCCTACCATGTTAAGAGTTATCTCATTTATTTTCTTCCTTTACACTATTGACATTGTAGTTCTGTGTTGTTGTTGTTTTTTAAGTTACTATGGGTGAGAGTTGAGAAAAGTGAGATTACTATTCTTGATTGGGCAACATTCTATTTATTTTTATTTGTTCAAACAGCCTCTAGGAATTTAAAAACCACTATATTTAACTACTCTCCCCAACAAAGGAAGTGCAAAGCCGTAAAGCAGTAGAGAAAGCAAGAGGGAAACTGAAAGCCTGTTTTAGATTGGTTTTCCTGAATGTGAGATTGTGCACTTTGAGCACTAAACGAGAGTCAGCGGAGCAGCTATTTATGGATCAGATCGTCTCAGGATAACTTTGTCATCTTTGAAGTGTTGTTAGTTTTCAGAGGGATAATATGTAAACATAGGGATACCTATGTTCTAGGAGAAAAAAAATGTTTGAATTATTTGAGAAAATTTTTAAAGGATATCTCTATCATGGTGACTTAATTTTTGTGAAAATTTATTTACTTTAGTCTAATATACTCAGACTGCTAGCAATTAATTTAAATTAATTCACTTAGATTCTTATCTTGGATCTAATACTTGAAAATACTTCATGACAGTAGACACAATTTAGGATAACTCAGATGCTGACATTGCTGTTATAAAATGAGATTGTTTGTGGGGGTTTTGTTCATTGGGATGTGTGAGTGAAATTTTATAGTTAGCATTCTTATTTCAAAAACACTCACTGTAGGGATCACCCAAGTAAGGTTCCGGTTTGGCAGGTAGAATCATCTAAACACTTTAATTTTGGTTTAGTTATTGAAAAAAAAGAAAATAATTGGTTCTGAGAAAAGGAGATTTTTTTCAAGTTCATCCTTTTTTGGAACAGAGGGCAAAAGAGGATGTGTTGCAGAAGGAGGTGAGAGTGAAGATTCTCAAGGACAGTATCAAGTTATTAGCTGCCAAAGTGCCCTCTGGTGGCCAGGAATTGACATCTGAGCTGAATGTTGTGCTGGAGAATTATCAACTTCTTTGTAATAGAATTCGAGGAAAGTGCCACACACTAGAGGTATGTTACTTTTTTCAGTGATGGATTTCTGAGATCCAAACTCTGTATTGTACTGATCATTTCAGAACTTCACTTTTCTTTCAAATACTGGTTTATAAAGAAAAAGTAGTTCTTGGGGAACAGGTTGATAAAATGATGGAGGGATTTAAAAAAGAAGGAGTGTAAGATCTGTCCCCAATTACTGAAAGGTTCTTGGGCAAGACATTTAAAATCTTCAGACTTTACTTTTTTTTAATGTGCAATCGGGGTTTCTAAGTTCCAAGTGATCTGAAGGACCGTTCCAGTCCAAAAATTCCAGAGCATATTGCAAACATCTTTTTTGTTTTGTTTTGAGATCTTTTGATTTTGAGTGTTATCTAAAGTTACTCACCTGGAGGAAAAATAGAACTGAAATATGCTGCTGTTTTACTGGACCTTAGCAAAAATGCCTTTTTTTCTCTCACTCTCTGGTCATTAAAGATAAAGAAGATTCTATGAGATTTAGGGTTTTTAAAAAATAAAATTAAGTTTCTTCTTGTTTGTTTTTATGTGATTATGTTTTTTGTTATAGTTTATTGGAAGATTTAAGAAGCATTTCAATGTATAACAATTTAATTTAAATTCAATTCAACCTAAAACAAATTATAGTATTGTGGTAAATCTTGAATGGTAAAAAATGGCAACTGCAATATTGAACTTAAATTCACTCATTATTTGCTTGTTTTGAATCAATTTTGTGCTAAGATAAATACACATAATTGAATAGGAAAGCTACTTGACTGGGGATCAGTCTGCTTCTTGGGAGTGATTCTCTGTGAGTTATCTTTTTTTTTCCCCCATAACAAAGGAAGTTGTGCTTGTGTCTGAGCAGACTTCTGGTCTGCTTTTTGCTTGTAAAAACCTCTTTTCTCTTTTACTCTAAGCCAGGGGCCAGCAAATTATGACTGAGAGTTTAAATCTGACTTGTGGCTTGTTTTGGTATGTCTGGTTAACTAAGAATGGTTTTTGCATTTCAAAAAAGTTGTAAAACACACACAGACACCCACACTCTCACAAGAAGAATCTGTGACAGAAACAGAATGTGGCCCCTAAAGCCTAAAATATTTACTGTCTAGAAAAATGTGCTGAGCCCTATTTTGGTAAGCATGCCTCATATGGAAGACAGACAAGAATGTGCCTTCACTTAGTCAGTAGATCCAAAAGAGGACAAATCCTGGAGGCATCCAGTTGAGCTTTCTCTTAACTTTATTGCTAAAATAGGTTCCTCGGCAGGCTCGGTGACTCAGCCTGTAATCCCGTGCCTTTGGGAGGCTGAGGTGAGTGGATTGCCTGAGCCCGTGGGTTCGAGACCCACCTGGGCAACTTGGCGAGACCTCATCTCTACAATAAATCAAAAATCAGCCGGGCATGGTAGCTCCTGCCTGTAGTTCCAGCTACTTGGAAGGCTGAGGTGGGAGGATCACCGGAGCCCAGCAGGTCGAGGCTGCGGTGGCCGGGAGTGGCCACTGCACTTCAGTCTGGGTGACAGAGTGAGACTCCAACTCAAAAAAAAAAAAAGATAGGTTCTTCTTATATGGAATAAGGGAGTTTAAATAGAATAAGGGAGTGTATACACTGATAAATTAACTCACTCCTCATAAGCCCCTGGTTCTTGCCACATAATGAGTGATCGTAACACAGGAAGACAATATAACTCCATTTTTGGTAAAATGTGACTCTCCTTTTTATATAGACATGTCCCCACGAATTTAGAAAAATTATTGAGAATACAGCACAGCAAAATTTTGCATCAATTAGCTTTGACTTGGAATTGGGTAGGACCCAGGAGATTTTAATTTCCTGTGAAATAATTACAAAATTTTCCAATTATTAGTAAATTTGCCTTCTATTAAAAAAATATTGCTTATTTTCTGTTTTTCTCCAACTAATTATATAGTTTTATTTTTGATATTTAACTTGGGATCTTTCCATTTTCTTCATGTGAGTTTGTAGAGATATGGATTCTCTCTTAGTACTGCTTTCATGGTATCCCAAAGATTTTGGTAAGATATTTCTTTGATGTTATTTGTTTCCCAGAATCTTTTGATTTCCGTGTTGACCCAGGTCTTGTTTAGCATCATGCTGTTTAGTGTCCATGTCTTTGTGGGTTTTGGGGGAACTTTGTTGGTGTTTATATTTATTTTTATTCCACTGTGGTCTGAGAAGGTTCATGGCAGAATTTCAATCTTATGGAATTTGTTTATGTTTGATTTATGGCTGAGGATGTGGTAGATCTTAGAGTAAGTTCCATGTGGTGATGAGTAGAATGTATATTCCATGGTTGTTAGGTGGAGTGTTCTGTAGGTATTAATTAAGTCCATTTGATCAAGTGTCACATTGAGGTTCTAGATCTCCTTGTTGACTTTTTGTCTTGATGATCTGTATAGGATTGTTAGTGGGTTGTTTAAAGCCCCAGCTATGATAGTGTTAGAGTCAACATCTTTTTTAAGTTTACCTAGAAGTCATTTTATGAAAGTGGTGCTCCTGTGTTGGGTGCATATATGTTTAGGATGGATACTTCTTGTTGACGGATTGAACCTTTTGTCATTGTGTAATGACCTTTCGTATCATTTTAAATTTTTGCTAGCTTAAAGGGTATTTTGTCTGATATTAACATAGTGACTTCTGCTTTCTTTTGTGTTCCATTTGCTTGAAATTTTGTTTCCTATCTTCTTGCTTTGAGTCTGTGAGTGTCCTTTCTGGTGAGATGAGTCTCTTAGAGACAATATATTGTTGCCTTATGATATTTTATACAATTTGCCATTCTATGTCTTTTCAGTGGTGCATTTAGTCCATTCACATTCAGGCTCATTTTTGAGATGTGAGAGTTTATCCCTGTCATGGGGTTCTTACAGAGTTTGTTGTTGTTGCTGCTGTTCGTTGGTTTTCTTTTTTTTGATTTTTGGGTTGATTCATGTGTGTTTCAATCTTTTTCCTGCATTATTGGGAAGGGCATTGTTCTTTTTTGTCTTTATTCTATTTTAATACTTTCTTAAATGTTTCTTATAGAGCTGGTCTGGAGGCAGTGTAAACTCCTAGGGATTGAATGTCTGGGAAAGATTTTAGTTCTCCATCACTGATGAAACCTAGTTTAACTGGGTAGGTAAATCTTGGTTGAAATTGTTTATCTTGAGAACTTTGAAGATTGGACTCCAAGCTCCCCTAACCTGTTTCTATAGATAAGTCTGCTCCTATTCTAATTGGTCTTTCCCAGTAGGTGGTCTGACCTTTCTCTCTTGCTGCCTTTAGGATTTTTTATTTTATACCTACTTTGTGTTGGTTAATTACTGTGTGTCTAGAAGTTGGTCTTCTCATTTGTTGTCTTGCAGGGGCTCCCTGAATCTCTTATGTTTGAGTGATGATATCTCTGATGAGTTAAGGGAAGTTTTCTGGATAATTTCATGTAATATTTGTTCCAGGGTGATCTCTGTCTCTCTATCTGCTTCAGGGATTCTAATTAATCTTAGGTTTGGCCTCTTGAAATCACTCATCTCTTAGAGGTTTTGTTCTGTCTTTTAAAACTACTTTTCTATGTTTTCAACAGTTTGGGTTAGTTCTGTATTTTGGTCCTCATTCTCTGAGATTCTTTCTTCTACTTGGTTAATTCTGCCTTCCATGCTAAGTTTGTTATTATTTCTTTTAAAAAAATTATTATTATTATTTTTAAATTTAATTTATTTTTTTATTATGATGTTGTGGGGTACAGTTAAGGGTTAGGTATACAATTACATTTCATTCAGGCACCCTGTTTGTTATTTATTTCATTCACTGTATTCTTTATTGCTGTTATCTCAGTTATCAGCTCCTTCATTCTTTCCTTTGTCTCTTTTCATTTTATTGATTTTCTCTATTAACATCTTTCTGTCTGGGTTTTTGGTTTGAGACCAGTCTTTCTGCGGCTCTTCATTGCTTGAATTCTGAAGTCTGTATTCTCAGTGACTGACCTCCCAGGGGGTCTGTGTGAGACTCATACTGCTCCTTTTGTTATTCTTCATTTGTGTAGGTTTTCCTCCCTCCTTCCCCCACCATTTTTAACCTCTTCTTTAATTCAGTGATGAGGGGATTAGCTTTTATTTCTGTTTGCTTAATCTCCTGTTCTTCCTCATGTCAATCTTCTGGTTTTGTTCAATTTTGAAGTTGGACTGGGGATGGGGCCTGTGCTTTTTGCAGTTTTGAGATTTAGTTAAGCGGGGGAGCCATGATTCAGAAGCTATCTGCAGATCCCAGTATCTGCTGATAGGTGTGTGGCACCCCTTAGAACTCACTTTCTACTGCCTTACAATCTGCCCAAGTGGTGGGGGTGTCTGTTTGCCCCCTGAACAAAAAATGAGATAAGAAAAAGGAAAGGAATTGAAATAGGAAGGAGGAGGATGAAAGGAAAGTGACTAGAGAGAAGAAGAAGAATAGGGAAAACAGGTTGTTTTGAATAAACAGAGAAACAAATGGAAAACGGACAGGTTGTAATGAATAAACAGAAACAAACAAAGACATAAAAAACAAAAAAGGCAAAAACATACAGACAATTATACAAACAAACAAAGCCCCTCTGTTGGTGTACTGTCTCTCAAAAATACCCATACACAAACAGAAAACCTAAAAAAAAAAAAATTGAAATAACAAAAACAAAGCAAGTACCAAAATGTAAACAAAAACAGAAAGAAAGAGGGAGAGAGAAAAAAAAGCAAAAACTAAAACAAAAAACAAATAAGAAGAAGGAAAAAAAAAACTCACTCTGTGTCCATTTCTGTAACTCTAGGTTCCTTTCACAGCCTCTGCCTTAGGGAGTGGCTCCAGTCTCCAGTCCCTCCTATCCACTGTCAGCACAGGCTGTTAGGGTTGCTCTTAGCGTGTGTCAGATACCCCATGAACTACTGTGCGAGGAGGATGGGTCAGATCCAGACTCACCCTACTTGCTGCTCCTGCTGTCTAGTCTCCCACTCACATCTGACATGTCTGCCTATACCAGCATGGGGGAGGAGCATCTGTCTTTCTGAGTCTGATGAGAGGATAGCCTGTGGGTCCCAAGATGGAGGCTGGGTGGAGCTGGGCAAGGCAATGCAGGTCTCTGCCCAGTCCCAGGACTGAGAAGATGGCACTTGTCAGTGTCTTGTCAGCAACCTTGGAGCTTTATTCCAGATTCCCATGACCTGCCATCTCCATGGTTCCTCCTGCTTGTGCCTAGTCTGCTGCTGCAGGTGATGGCATGGGCCCTGTTCCAGGTGGTGAGGAGTGGCTGTTCTCTGCTGCCTCCTCTCAAGAGAGCCCTGAGAATGGCAGATGATCCTGTGCAGCTGGGTTTCTGATCTCAGAGTGGTGGTGGGTTGCAGTCACCTTTGGAGGAGAGCCCTGGGTACATGAGTCTGAGTCTCCCCTCTGACAGAATTTCAGTCACCCACTAGCACATATCCACTCATGCAGAGAGTCTTTATGGGCACTCACTTTTGTGGAGACTCTCACAGTCCAGCTGGTTCCATTGCCATCTTGTCTGGAAGCTCTATTTTTGACATTTAAATCAGATCCTAGAATTTATTTTAATGTGTGGAATGAGACCCCCTCCCCACTGAGTGATTTATTCAAGGATTTTATTTTATCTCATTCATTTGAAAATTCCAACTCCATTGTTTTCTAAATTCCCGAATATATCCATGTCTAGATGAAATTATTGTTGATTAAAGAGAATGTGTAGCACTAGAGATTCACTGTATGAAGTGGCTTTTTGTCTAATTTAGATTTTTTTCACGCTTTAGGAGGTCTGGTCTTGTTGGATTGAACTGCTTCACTATTTGGATCTTGAAACGACCTGGTTAAACACCTTGGAAGAGCGGATGAAGAGCACCGAGATCCTGTCTGAGAAGACAGATGCTGTCAGTGAAGCTCTAGAGGTTGGAACCCATGTTCTCAGTACATTTCTTTTTGTTTCTTTGTGATCATGCGCATATTAAAATGAGGAACATTATGGTTTATGCGGGCAACACATTTGCTTCCTCAGTAATTTTCAGTGTAACTTGTTTCTTCCATAGCTTGAAGTATTTACACAATCATGTATATTTAGATTATTGGTGATCCACTATATCACCTCAAGAAGTGTTTAGGTATTTGACAATTGGTACATTTTAGACATGGTGAACCACTCCAGTGGGTTCCAGTTTTTTTTTTTTTTTTTTTTAACCAATCCCTAGACACATCTCTGCCATATGCTATTAGGACAGTTGCTCTCTTGTTTCTTCAACAAGTTATTTTTATTAATTTAGCACAGTGATGACTGTGTTTACAGTGGTTTCTAGTCTATTATCTTCAGATGTTAAAGATTAGAAGACAGACTGGAATGGACAGTGATTGAGGCATGGGATCCTGTCATAGCAGCTTGTCATCAAGCCTGGACCTCGAGTTCCTTGAACCAAAAAATGTACTTGGTTCCCTGTTGTTCCTCAGTTCCCAGCACTGCTTCATATGGTGTGTGATGACCTAATAACTAATTCTTAAATGAATTCAAAAGAGGGTAGGTTTGGTTTTTTTTTTTTTTTTAAGAAGAGGGTAGATATGTTTTTAAAAGCATAGCAGCACAATGTGGGAACTGAGTGAACAACTGGATTGAAGGTCAGAAATAAGTGAAATGTGGTCCCTCCATTCCAGGTGATGAGTGCTTTGTTGGAGAAAAGATGCCACTTCTCAAATAAAGCAGAGTGACAGATTCAGAAAATGAAAAGTGAAAAGCTTGTTTAAAAAAACAATTTTCCTTATATGAGAGTTCATACATGTACATTCTAGAAATATGGGAAATAGAGAAGGGTATAAGGCAAACTCTGATAAAAACTTTTAAATGTTTTGTGTGTTTCTTCCTAATTGTAAGTATTATTTACATATACACACTAGAAAGTAGCACATTGGATTAAAGTCTTTGTGAGTCTCAAAGGTATTGGAGCCACACTGAAATCTTAACTCTTCTCTTGACTGCATACATAGGCAAGTTATTTCACCTCTCTGAGCTTCAGTTTTCCCATTCGAAAAATGGGAATAATTTTAAGCCCATATGCCTAGTTAGATTTATGTATATAAAAAGGATGTATGTAAAACAGTGCCTGTTATTCTGTAAATGTAGAAAAATGAGTACCTACTTTTAGTAATACAATTAATTACAGTTGAGATAACTGTATACTACTGCTTTCTGCCCTCAAACTCTGTATCATATAACAAGCATTTCCTCATCTAAATAATAATTATCAAAATTATCTTTATGAATTATATTATCATATATCATTTGTGCTGACTTCTCGATTTTATTTTTTTATTAATACTATGATGAATATTTCTTTGAATTAGTCATTTACCTAATTTTTGATCTCATTCTTTATATAGATTTCTACAAGATGGATTTACTTGTGTAAGAATGAACATAATCCTTTATACAGTTTGCCTTAGTAAATGCATTGATTTTTTTCCTTGTCCCTGGTCTAGTCTCTAGAATCTGTTTTGCGCCACCCAGCAGATAATCGCACCCAGATTCGGGAACTTGGCCAGACTCTGATTGATGGAGGAATCCTTGATGATATAATCAGTGAAAAGCTGGAGGCTTTTAATAGCCGATATGAAGAACTGAGTCATCTGGTAAGAATCAGGACACGCATAAGTGTTGATTAGGTATTAATGAGGTGGTGCTGACCCTAAGTTTCATCTCTTATAGAGCTTAATGTTGATAAAATGTTGGTAAAAGTTGGTAACGTATAGAGTTGGTTAATGTTGGATAAAGCTTTAATGTTGGTTAAAGTTGGTAACCAACATTAACAGGGGCTATGAGGGCTTTGAAATATTAGGTAGGGAAGAATAGACCTAACACTTATAAGGCAGGCAGAACTGGATGATTAAAAAAAAATTTCTCAGCTAGGCTTGGTGGCTCATGCCTGTAATCCTAAAACTTTGTGAGGACAAGGCAGGAGGATCCTTTGAGGCCACAAAGTTTGAGACCAATCTGGGCAATATAGTGAGACCCTGTCTTTACAAAAAAGAAAATTAGCTGAGCATAGGGACATGTGCCTGTAGTTCCAGATACTGGGGATGCTGAGACAGGAGGATCACTTGAACCCTGGAGTTTGAATCTGCAGTGAGCTATGATCATTCTACTGTGCTCTAGCTGAGGCAACACAGCGATACCCTATCTTAAAAAAGAAAGAAAGAAATTATTTGTGTTATTTCTACTTGTGAGCTACGTAATTTCCATTAAGGATCCTAGTGTAGCTATATATAAGACTAATAGCTAGTAAATATTAGGACCATCATAATTTGAAATAAGCTGGTATGGCAGTCAAAATCTCTTAGTTCATATTCAGGCTGTATCACAATATACATGCCTTATCACTAATTAGAGAAAGGATACTATTCTTTGATAAGGAAGGATACTGTTCTTTTATAGGACCCTTTATTTTATAGGAAGGTTGAATGATGCTTCCAAACACATATTAAATAATAACATTAAAACTTAGATCATGAATAGCATCAAGCTTAATACAAATGTGAAAGAAATAATGTCCAACACATATATATGTAGAATTTGTTGCAGACTTTGTAATAAAGAGACTCAGATGTGTATTAATAGACATGCCTTTATGTTTTATATTCTTATTGATAGATGTAGGTGACTTAAAAATATTCTAGATTTATAATAAATAACAAATTTTTATCTTCTGTTGAATGTTTTCTATAGGAAGTGTACATGTTTTTGTATTTTGTCATTGTACATAGAAAGAAGTACAATTTAGTTATTCAACTGCAAGGTACATGAGATCCTGGAAGGACATTTTCACTGTTATCATTAGTAGTCATTATTTATTTATAAGGAAAGCCAAAGTGTTGAACAAGTGCTTTTATAGTCTTTTCTTAGTAGCCAGAACATATATATATTCAGCTATTTGTATTTGTACTAAGCAACTAATGATTCCATTTCTCCACTTTGTAGGCAGAGAGCAAGCAGATTTCTTTGGAAAAGCAGCTACAGGTCCTGCGGGAAACTGACCACATGCTTCAAGTCTTGCAGGAGAGCTTGGGGGAGCTAGACAAGCAGCTCACCACGTACCTGACTGACAGAATAGACGCTTTTCAAGTTCCTCAGGAAGCTCAGGTATTGGTATGGTTTCTAGGGTTTTTAGTCGTAAAGAGAGCATTTGTAATCACTTCCTCCACTGCAAGAGGACCCTCCTGCCATCCGAAACTAAGAGTTAAGGGAAAAGTGAACTTTCCTTAAGGGGCTGCGTTTGGGTTTTGGTGTTCTCTTGCTTTCTAAGTGAGATCCTGGCACATGTCCAATATTTTAAAATTGAAGTTTTCCTAGCTATGAAGTTGGGACAATGCCTTCTTTAGAAATAAGTTGTGAACATTAGAAATGACAAATGCAAGGTCCTTATCATGTGCATATCACACAGTTAGTCACATAGGCAGTTGGGTTATCATCATGCCACAAATCTATTAAAGTGTGCATAGAGGTCAATATCATATAAAATACGATGTTATTTATTACATTACTATATAGAACTTTTGTGTTGTTTCCTTTTATACTTAAAAAAAATTATCCTCTCCCTTTTCCAATTTCTTTGTAGAAAATCCAAGCAGAGATCTCAGCCCATGAACTAACATTAGAGGAGTTGAGAAGAAATCTGCGTTCTCAGCCCCCGACCTCCCCGGAGGGAAGGACATCTAGAGGAGGAAGTCAGGTGGATGTGCTGCAGGTAAAGAGGGCGAGGAGCTTCTTTTTACTTTTCAGTATGTTGGCCATAAAACAAAAAAGAGAGAAAGAGTAGATTACTTGGGTGCCTTTAGTATTCTTTATGATGTAAAAGGTGGGATGGAAATGATGTGTTGAAGGCGCATTGCACCCCAGGGCAGCAGAAGCAAACAGTTGCATGGTTGGAAAAATACTAAATCTGACTTTTATCACTGAGTTGAGAAGTGGGAGAGTGAGCCAAATTTGGAAGTTAGCTCTGTGCAGACTTTTCTTTAACACAGAGCTCCTAGCTGGGCTCGGTGGCTCAGCCTGTAATCCCACGCCTTTGGGAGGCTGAGGTGAGTGGATTGCCTGAGCCCGCAGGTTCGAGACCTGCTTGGGCAGCGAGACCTCATCTCTACAATAAATCAAAAAAATTAGCTGGGTGTGGTAGCGCGCGCCTGTAATTCTGGCTACTCGGAAGGCTGAGGCGGAAGGATCGCCGGAGCCCAGCAGGTCGAGGCTGCGGTGACCGGGAGCGGCCACTGCACTCCAGTCTGGGCGACAGAGTGACTCCAACTCAAAAAAAAACAAAAACAAAAAACAACACAGAACTCCTGCCAATGCTGCTGTGACGGAGGCACCGGGAAGGCTGAGTATGCATGGGAGGAATTATCAATCACTACTTCCTCAATGGTTGATATGACATCAACTTTGACTCTGAACTTGTGATGAAGGGCATTTTGAGTTCTAGGTTCCTGAGCTATATTTCTACACTGATGAGAAAGTTAATGACATTTTAATTCTGGTGAGGCCAGCTTTATCTAAATATCTTATTTCTGAGATTGAGACACTGAGTGTCGAGTACTTCATGACACTGCTTTGGACAGAGTACTTAGGTGATCAGGTAACCCTGTTGAATTCCATTAGGATTTTTTTTTTTGGTCATATGACAGAATGTTTTTATTGATACTTTATAGCCTTTTAGTAGTTTGTGTTATATCAATGTCATCGGATGAGAGATGATCATTCTAATGTGAATTGCTTATTGTTTTCATTTCTGCAAACAGAGGAAACTTCGAGAGGTGTCCACAAAATTCCAGCTTTTCCAGAAGCCTGCAAACTTTGAGCAGCGGATGCTGGACTGCAAGCGTGTGCTGGATGGTGTGAAGGCAGAACTCCATGTTCTGGATGTGAAGGATGTAGATCCTGATGTCATACAGACCCACCTGGACAAGTGTATGGTGAGGCTGTTGGGTGGTTAGGATGTCCAATAGGTTTTCCAGCAACTGTTAGGGCTTAGTTGAATGCTTACATGGCTGGTTTGTTCAATAATCATTAGTCTAGGGTGTGCTAAAAACAAGGACTGATGATGGAAAACACATTTAAAAGTGACAAGTGTGGTCCTTTCCCACAAGGAATTTAAAAGAGATAAGAGAGCTAACAAAACTAGAATAGATATGTATATAATGTGATGGAAAAAAATCCCCCAAAGAAACACATCTTAATCACTGTGAAGTTAGGGAGGCATCAGCAGAATGTGACTAATGTAAGTTTTCAAGGATAAATCTGAGTTAGCTAGAAGACCACATTTAGAATGGGTGTCAGGAATATAACCATGTAAAAAACATTTATTTTCAAGGAAAGTGAAAATTTAACTTCTAATTTATAAAGTTTAAGCCTAAGATAGGAAAGAAACAATTATATTTAGAATGGATGTCAGGAATATAATAGCATAAAAAAATCGTTTTCTAGGACAATAAAAGTTAAAATAGAAATTTAAACCTAAGCTGGGAAAGAATAAATGATATATAAGCCCTTGCTACTTTTTTAGTCTTGAACTGCATAATTCAATTGAATCGAAATTGAAAAATAATGTGCTCGAGAGGATACAGTTTAGAATTGTGTTCTGCCTGAGAATCAAGATGAGACTGGGCGCGGTGGCTCACACCTATAATCCCAACACTTTGGGAGGTTGAGGTGGGGGAATTGCTTGAGCTCAGCAGTTCGAGACCAACCTATGCAACATAGTAAGAGCTCTTCTTTCCTAAAAAAAAAAAAAAAAAAATAGCTGGGCATGGTGGCGCACATCTGTAGTCCCAGCTACTTAGGAGGCTGAGGTGAAAGGATTGCAGGCTGAGACTGCAGTAAGCCAAGATTGTGCCACTGCCCTCCAGCCTGGTTTAGAGAGTGAGAGACCTAGACTCAAAAAGACAAAAGAAAACAAAACAGAAAAAGAAACAAGATGAGATTCGTTAGGACAAAAAAGGCTGAATTCATGGAAATTGCATTCTCCATGTGTCTGATTATTTCATGGGTAGAAGAATGCACAAATTGGATATAATTTAATATATGTGTACATATGTTTTAAGTATTTATTTGCTTATTGTGACATGATGGCAATCAAAGCAAGTGCTGTCCATGACCTCATGGAACTCCGTTCAGTGGTCTATTATATCTCTGTGTCCCATGAGAGGTTTCAGGTTAAGGATATGATGTATGGAGTCAAGAGAAGTGCTCAAAATAAAACTTTTTGGTTTCAAGAGAACTAGTATGAGGACACCTCTGCATTTGACCTATAGCACTCCTATTTCCTATAGTCATGTACACCTTCATATTGAGTTTTATATCTGTTTTTATTATATAAGTAATACATGCTCATTGGGGTAGACTTGGTACTGTAGAGAAATAGAAGGGAAAAAATAAATGTTAGTGATTTCAAATTTCAACAGCCAGTAGTCGCCAGTGTTGGCTTTTTTTCTACTTAGGATTTTTTAAAGATGTAATTTTAATTGTGGTAGAAATTCTGTTTTTAGTCTTAATATTTTTCCATTTTATGCAGGAAAAATGTTTACATTATCAAGTGCTATTATAAGCATAAAAAACATGTCAGACTTCTTTTTTTTTTAAACATGTATAAACTCTATTAGCTTATTTTCTTGTCTGATTTAAAAGGTTATTACAACCTTGATTTTATTTCACTCAGTCTTTGGAGCAAGTCTGAGAAAGAGAATGCCCTTTGATCTCCATGGTTAGATCTTAGCCTCAATCTGTGCAAGCTGTTCTGAAATGATGCCAGTTGGCAGGTTTTCACTACAGTGTGTAATTTGTCTTGTTTTCTTTCTTTCTTTCTTTTTTTAAGAAACTGTATAAAACTTTAAGTGAAGTCAAACTTGAAGTGGAAACTGTAATCAAAACAGGAAGACACATTGTCCAGAAGCAGCAAACTGACAATCCTAAAGAGATGGACGAGCAGCTGACATCCCTGAAGGTCCTTTACAATGACCTGGGTGCACAGGTGGGAAGAGCAGCCTATACTTGCCTCTTGCTTTTCCTACTTTCCCTGTCTGTCTCTGTCTCTGTCTCTGTCTCTGTCTCTGTCTCTAACAAACACACACCTTTTTTTTTTTTTTTTGAGTCAGCCCAGCCTAGAGTGCAGTGGCATGATCATGGCTCACCACAGCCTCCAGTTCATGAACTGAAGAGATCTACCCTCCTTAGCTTCCTGAGTAACCTGGACTACAGGCGTGTGCCATCACGACTGGCTAACGTTTTGATTTTTTTGTAGAGATGAGATCTTGCCGTGTTATTTAGACTGGTACTGAATTCCTGGGCTCAAATAATCCTCCCTCTCCAACCTTCCAAAATGCTGAGATTACAGAGTGAGCCTCTGCTCCCCACCCTCTCACACGTATTTTCAAATTTCACTCCTTGAAGAATGTATGTTTGAATGTATGTATGGCATTCATTTCATTCATGTTTTCAATTTATTGTAACAATTTTCACTATATTTCTTTAAATGTTTATGCTGATGTTTTAATGATTAGTAGTTGCACAGAAATTTATTTTTACTATTTAGCCTAGATTATTATTTATACTTTCAGTGGCTACTAACAGTTCTTAAGTTCTTCTAAGGAAATTCTACAAATAATATTCACTGTATACACTCAAGTTATTGGTCCTTGGATTTCTCAATTGATTAGCCTACTGAGAAATGTTAAAATATCAGCGCTCTAATAAATAATAAGTGACAGGAAATACACATTAATCTACCAGGATTTAAAATCCTTCCAAGAAAAGTCTCTAATTTGGGCATTTTAGTGAATTCATACAGGCCATTTACTGTGAGTGACTGACTGGGTACGATAGGCTTAATGTCTTCTCTCCTTGAGAATGTTTGCACTGATACCAGGAGAACAAAAGAATGTGTGGAAGTGAAACCTTCTTGGCAATATTGAAAAAGTTAGGCAATGTTTGTATCCTTTAGTTATTAAGTATTTACTTCTAGTTGAAGGTTGAAGTTTCTACATAAGCTCAGAGTATGGTAGCTAAAACTTTTATCAATTTAAAATTAGTAAGAATGAATAGTCCATACTTTTTCTAGGCAATTTTGACCTCACTTTTGAAAGATTAGGTGGATGGTGTGATATATTTTGATGCACTGTCTATCTGGAACACCTATTTTAGAGTTTTTAGGGTTTTTTTTTGGGTATTATACTGCTGAAGTTATTTGTTAAATGCTATATTTGTTCACTGGGCATTTTATGGGTGGAAATGGAATTGCTGGTTTTTGCAGTAATTCTCTAATTGTGACTATGGTTTTCTCATTAATTAATTTTCTCATTTAAAGTCTCATTCATTTGAGTCTTTACTTTGTGTCAGGAGTTATGCAGGCAGTACTGATAAAGTGGTTACCCCAAAAATATGTATCTCTTTGTGTAATGGAACTTAGGGTAGTGAAAGAGGAAGAAATTAATCAGTTTCATGAAATAATCTTAGAGTAAGTCTGAAGTATAATGAAGAAACATACATGGTGCTTTAAGAGTACAGGTAAAGGTGGATTTGGTCCAGTCTTAGGAAAGGTTTCATGAGGAAGTGATGCATAAGCTGAGAAATGAAGGATGGGTAGGAGTTACCTGGATGAAACCACAGGAAGAGCTTTCATGGCTGATGAAACAGCTTGTTTAAAGCCCTGTGGCAGGAGGCAGCATGGTACATCTGTGTGGCTAGAGCAGAGAGAGCCAGTGGAGGGAACACGGTGTTGGGAAGATAGGATGAGACCAAACTCTGCTGGTGTCAGCATTTGTGATAAAGATTTTAATCTCTGTCTTAAGTGCCACAAGCAATTATTGCAAGGTTTCTAGTAGGAAAATTACATACTCAGATATATCTTTTAAAGGCTCAGTCACTGCAATTTGGAAGATGAATTCGAGAGAGACGGGAGTGGATGTGAGACCATTATTGTACTCTCAGTGAGAAATGGTGGTGGCTTGAACTTTGGTGGACAATGGGAATGGGGTGAGTGGGCTAATTTCACTGTATGTAGTGAAATGTCTGTCTGTATGTATGTAGGCAGTGAAATCAACAGGACTTAGTGATGGATTAGGTATGGCATTTAGAAGAGACAGAGATGAAGGGTGATTTCTGAATTTTTGGCTTGATGATGTGGATAGTGCCATCATTGGGGTGGGTGCAGGAAGAAAAGGTAGGGGCACGCAGAAACCTCAAGTGTGTGTTATACATGTTGGCATTTTAAGTGCCTTTGAGAATGTGAATCGGAAATAGCAGGTACTCACAAGACTCTTCAGGTCTGGAAAATAGATCTGGGCTGAAGAGATGGATTTTATGAGTCATCTGCATAGAAATGGTAATTAAAGTTTTCAGGGATGATAGATTGCCTAGGAACAGGATATTGTGAAAAGGAAGAGGGTCCTTGACCAAGTCTTAGGAATTACATCATTTAGTAAGAAATTTGAGGAAGGTGAATTTCCAAAGGAAACTAAAATAAGTAACAAGAAATGGTAGGCACTCAAGGAGAGTGCTAGGTCTGGGCAGCCAGGGGAAGATGGTATTTCAAGAATGAGTGAGTCATCTGTTTCAAATAGTATTGAGAGTTAAATATGGAATCTACTTTAAAATACCCATTAGATTTGTTGTCATTGGGGTCATTATTGAACTTAGCAAGGGGAATTTCTGTGGAGTGATGGGGGTAGAAGCCAGAAAGGAATGGGTTGAAGTCTGTATGGAAGGTGAAGAAATGAAGACGGCACCATAAGACAATGGTTTTGAGGATCTGTATGGGAAGGATGGAGAGAGGAGGATGTTTAGGGGTAGGTAGGACCAAAGAAGGAAATTTTTTCTCTTTTTTGAGTGTGAGACTTGAGTGCATTGGATAACTGGTGGGAATGATCCTGTTGAGAGGGAATGGTTGAATATCCAAAGGGAGAAGGGATAAACAGTTACGTATATGATTTACAACTTGATATGGCCTAATTCAATATGCAGTCTATCTTAAAAAGTATTGATCAGATTGAGAAAAGTATAAATTATTCTAAATTGAACTGTGAATTATTT